ACACAGGAGATTGGGAGAGAGGGGCAATTGGATAAAGCATCATTCGAGTTTAATTATCAGGACAAAAGCCTGAATCGAACCTGGGTGTTCAGAGTAGAAGCACAGTGCTCTACCAACACACCAGGTCGAGCTACGAATGATGAATATCCCAATTGCCCAGGCCCGCATAACCGAGAAATGGTGCGATGGTTTCCAACGCGACATAATCGGATGCTGGGCCTCTCCCAACCTCTCTCTCCCTACCAGGTAGGGCCTACCTTAGAGCCGTTGTATCCTCGAGTTCCTTGCTGCATATACTCAGACGGTGGACTCAGCTCGGCGGATGGCTCGGACTCTTCAAACATCACTCTTGTGAGCATAGATTGCTTCTCAAGTCTATACGTGCCATCCCTCAAATACCTTTCCCGGAGGCTGGTTGGATTCTTCCACCGACCCATCTCAGCTATTCGATTCTCATCAACATACTGATCCATAAGAAGCTGAGCTCCACTCCAGGAGTGGCACTCCTTCTCAAACTGTGAGTCGAGATTCTGGCACCTTCGGGAACTTTGTCCCCCAAAATTCGCCGCGTCAGCTCTGACATTTTTTCCGTAAATTGCCGTCGCACATAAGGGAATACAAGGTCTTCGGCAGGGCGTCCCTCAACCCATGCCTCCATTCGGTGAAAAGGGCAGACAGAATTCCTTCTGCCATTGACGCAGCAGCATCCAATGGCAATCGTGCATCCTTTCCCTAGCGGATCGGTCTTGGAATGGGTAATGCGGATATCGACCCTTGCACCAGTTTCAACCGAACTAATCAAGCTAACATGTCTCACTTTGAGAGATAACAGTTCGCCGAGTCGCAGTAGAGCAGCGACCCCTACTATCATTCCCGTAATGACCCCTTGCAAGTCCGGCTCCTTCAGGGTCGAGAGGGATCTCATATCCTCCGCACTCAGTGTGGCAGCTCGCCTTTGGTTGGACACTCCGCACTGTACGGAAAGTTTCTGCGCAGCTCTCAAAAATAACTTCACTTTGCTGTCTTCGGTTATGCTCAGAGTTTCGCCCCTTTCTTCCCTCGCTAACTGCTTAGCGATCCGTGTATACTGGTCTATTGTTTCGAAGGTGTATCTCCCACGTACGAGACTTATAATGAAAACGCACGCCGTTTCCGCACGGAAAGGGACTGGGTCTCGACCCGCTAATTGATTCAGCTCGAAGTACTTCGCTCGTACATTTTCGTACTTCTTTCGCGTACTCTTTGCTCTTGCATGGTTACCGAACTCCACCAAATCACTTTCCATGAGATTCTGAGCCGCCTCTTTTGCTTGTTTGAACGAACCACGCGTATAGGCCTTCGATGCTCGTCCTTGTGGACGTGCAACTTCGTCTGAGATCTGCACCCCGCCGATCGCACCCTTCACACGTTTCTCG